CGGCAGCCTCTCCCCCGCCGCCCCTCCTTCCCGCGCTCACAGGGAAAGCCTCGGCCGGCTCCCCGGGCTCAGCCTGGAGCCTCCTCTGCAGTCGGTGACCTTCACTGGTTTCTCCTCTCCTTATCAGACCCGGAGCACCAGACCGGATCGAGGGAAGGGGCTGCTGGAGGTCCCAGATGGCGGAGAAACTGCAGAGTGTCATTTCAGGGAAAGGATATTTTCAGTCCTTGAACTTATTTAACATGCCTCTTCTGAAGGTACCTGCCCTTGACGGGCGCTGTGGCCGGGAGCTGGCTGCGCGGAGCCCGGCGTGGGGCAGGCAGGATCCTTTGCAGCCCTGCTTGCAGCTGCCCTGGGTCAGGTTTCATTGCTGTTAGTTTCTGAGGGTGCTTTTTTTTTTTTTTCCTTCCCCCCTTTTTTTTAAACAAAGCCTTGAAGTGGGAAGCGGATCCAATTCTTTTTATTGCTGTATTAACGTTTTAATTCATTTCAGAAACTAACCCGTTTCTCTTCCCGACTAGAATGTCATAGAATTAAGTGAACTGTAACCCTCCCGAAGTGCCTTATTTTCCTATATGATATAAATATATTTATAAGAGTAATTATTCCACTTGTATATTAAGGGTTGAATGCTGACCAGAGGTGGGAGGAGAGATGGAAAGTGCCCTGGAAGGACCCAGGCCCGCCGCAGGGCCAGAAGGGTGCTGGGGTCTGTCGGACTCTCTCAGGGTGCAGGGGGTTGCTCGCTTTCAGACCAAAGGAGTTTCAGCAGTGAAGCTCTGGTAAAACCTCGAGCGCAAAATACTGTAGCAACCGCAGACACTGGCACTGAGGTCGAAGAGTGTGGAGTTTTTTTTCCCCCCTTCCCCCCTGCAAAATCAACACAGATGGCCAGACTCTGCTGCCTCGTGTACATGGCTGCACCGGGAATAAAACTGCCGCCTTTGGTGGAGCCGAGCCCGGTCTGTACCTGTGCAGCTAGACGCAGACTCTTGCTGTCTTCTGTTTTCCCTTGTCATGTCTGTCTGTATTTTTCTCTGTTGGTTGCTGTGTAAGCCAGGCTTTCCTGCTGTCTTTTTTTTTTTTTTTTTTTTTTTTAAATAATCGGCTCGGTCTCCCCTGGATGAAGATCCCAACTGCAATTTTTTTGTAATGTACATGTTTTAAAAAAAAAAAAAAAATTTGGGTCCTTTTTTTAAAACTGTAAACTTAAACTTGATAAAAACCTTTCTATCCTATGGGTGCCCATGTGTGTTACTCGGGGCATGTGTGGGGAGCCACGACGCTTTCCTTAGCGCGCTGAGAGCGGCTGATGGGGGCACAGGGGCTGCTGTCACTTGTTCCCCTGCCCAGGCGCCTTGTGCCGCATGAGCAGCTTGTACCTTATAACCCGAGTGTCCCACAGTGCATCTCGCTGGGCTGTAATATGAGGAGACTGGCCACGCTTGGAGGTTTGAGGGCTCCAAGGCTTTGTCCTGTCAGCAGGGGCCTCACGCGGGTGTCGGGGCAGAGAGGTGAAGAAAAGCAGCAGGTCCCAAGCTGCCTCGCAGATGCCATCCGTGCGGAAAGCTCTTCCAGCACCGAAACGCAGCCACCACCGGGCTGGGTTGAGGATTATCGATGGTGGTAGTTAGCACTGCCTGCAAGGGGTAACAATGCCAAGGAACCGATATCTAGGAGGAGCTACCAGCCTCCTCTCTGTGCTCTTCCTGCCATGCCAAATGAGCCTGCGCTCCATCTTGTGAGAGCGGAGCGGCTGGAGCTGGGGTGGGAGGGGGCTGGCTCTGATTTGCTTCCATTTCAGTTGTCACGGTCCCTTTTGCAGTTAGCCAGAGCAGTGGTGGGTGGTGGCCCTGTCCCCTGTCATCAGGTGTGTTGTCTGGCCCTTGTCCGCCAGCCTGTTGCATGGACGTGTTTCTTGACGGTTGGTGTAGAGTGACAAAAGCATCTGCCCCTGCTCCTTGCTTCTGCCTTTCCTGCAAGCCTTGCCGGCCAAATTCCCCTGGCTTCTAGGAGACGCCCGTGCACTTGTGCTGCAGCACTGTGCCCTTTCTTGGCTGGCAGGAGTCCCTGGCTGCAAAACCTCATTAGTTTAACTGCCTTTGCCAGCTTGGGAACAAGAAACCCCTTTACTAGTGGCGGGACATGGAGGGCAGGGCACGGGGAGGCATCTCTTGGGCTTTCAAGCTCAGTAATGCTGTCTGTCCCAGCTATTGGCTCCATCTCGAGTACAGGAGGAGCAGCTGGGCCCCTCAGCTTGCCTTGCTCCGGGCTGGGAGAGCGGCTCTAGCTTGCTTTGCTGAACGTGTTTTGCTGCGGCCGGGGCTAACTTGCTGCCCCTGCTCTTTGGGGCACAAGCTAGCGTGTGGCCCTGTACCCTTGGGGCACGAATCCTTGTGAGTCACCTTTGTGAACTGTCTTTTTGTCCCCCTCGTAGCTGGTGGGGTGCCAGCTTATCTTTTTATTCCCAGCTATTGTCTCGCTGGTTACTGAACTTGCATAAATACACCCCAAGAGAGAGGAGATCTCAGACGTGG